CCGTCACCGCAGCCCCTGCCCCCTCCCTGCTTCCTTCCTCTTCCTGGAGCTCGCCTTTCCCACTGCCACGCTGTCCTCTCCCCTTTACCGCAGCGCCTGCCCCCTCCCTGCTTCCTTCCTCTTCCTGGAGCTCGCCTTTCCCACTGCCACGCTGTCCTCTGCCCGGCACCGCAGCACCTGAGGGCTCCAGGAGAAGGGACCTGTGGAGTCAAGGACAGCCACAGAACCTTCTTCCTGGACTTGATGTGAGCCTTTGAGGAGGGTGGGGGTGGCCCAGAGAACATATTAGCCTGCCGCCAGAAGAGATCAGGGGAGCTGGACAGTAATTCTTCACCCGCAGCCTGCCAGCCAAGCTGAGGGGGAGGTGTGTGTATGTATTCAGGGTTTCCAAGGTCTGCTGGCCTTTGCATGGATGTCTCTTAGGGGCTTGCTGCTCATTTGGGCATAGAGATCAATTTCCAAAGAGTGGAATTTTTCATCGGCACTACCAGGATGGGAACGTCCCAAAAGGGCTTCCACTAACCACCTCCTGTCTGTCTGTTTTTCTTTGGGTGACTGCTTCCCCTCCCTGTGCCACAGTTTTCCCATCTGTAAAATGGGGGTGACCCATACCTCCCGGGAGTGCTGTGCTCTTTAATGTCTGCCCTGAATGCCTGAGATAGACGGTGCCTGGGAAGGACACAAGGACCAAGTTCTGGCCATTGACCTGGGGATGTGACCTTGTGTGTTTCCTTTCTCTGCACAGTCTCACCATTGTCCTCCTCCCCAGCACTCTGCTCGCACCGCCTTTCTCCTCCCCTCTCGCTACCGCGCTCCCATTTACACACAACAACTGGTTGCACTGAAATATTTAAGCCGGATGATCAGATCGTGTGTCACTTGGAGCATTGCAGAGCCGCCGCCAAGCAAAGCTCCAGAATCCAGCAAATCAATACCAGTAAAAGGAGAGTGAATGAGCCCTGGCTTGGGGAGCCCGCGGCAGCCGTCTCCTCCAAATCGTGGCAGCGGTCCAAGGCCAGCGAGGAAAGCAGGCCCAGCCCTCACTACCTCTGTCTCGACTTGCACAGGTGCAGGAGGAGTTTGTGTTCTCAGAGGGCCTAAGCAGTGCGGAGGATTTAATGCAGCGAGTGTTGGATTTATTGAGGTGCATCGGAGGAGCTGTGAGGGACCCACAAGTGGAATAGCAGAGGGAACTGACAGGCAGGAACAAGGGGTCCTGGCAGAGAGCAGCGCGGGGGTCAGGCCTCAGTAGCAAGGAGAGCTGCAGGGCAGGATTGAGGTGTACTGGCCATGGCTAGTCCTACTCTCATTTAAAATTGTTGTGTGGTTATGTTCAAGGAATGAACCAATTTCCACCCGTCCCCATGCCCTCACACGCACACTCTTCCTCCTCCATCCTTTGTAGTCGGCTGCTGGTGGATCAGGGGGTGGGATCAAACATCAAGAGTAACAGGATTAACTTTAACCAGGCCGGGGAGATGTGTTGTTTAGTTATTTTGCTGTTGTATAATCCCCTCTGACTGTTGCACCTGGCCACAGCGCAGATAAATACAAACGTCCGCTTGTAACCAGGACTGTGGAACAATCTCCCGAGGGAGGTGGTAGAAGCTGACTTGAAATGAACGGGAGGGGCTATTCTGGAACTCTCGTACAATCCGGAGGGCAGGGGAGGGATGTCTGTTAAACTTAATTTTCATTCTCTGGTTCCCTCTTTCCCATGATACCTTCTCCTTCTCACATGCAGAGCAGGCTGAGGTGGGGACAGGACTGACCAAAAGCAGATCAGATGAAATTAACACTAGGAAAGGTGATCTGCTCCAAACATTCTGTGATCATTAATTGTTCCCTTCCCATCCTCCCCGTGTGACGCTTCCTTTGTGTCACGGGGACGCGGCTCAAAGTCCGCATGGCTCCAAGCGTTGGTTTTTTGTTTTTTAAATAAAGGCTTTTTTCTGTGTTCCTCTTCGCTCCCCTGGTGCAGCGGGAAGGCAGTTACCTTCTCGAGGTCATTAGTGTGGCTTGTGCTTTTGTGAGCATCTGCATTCGAAAATAGCTGGTCTGATGATTAATGGATGGAGCAGAAGAAAAAGCATAACTAGAGAATTTCAATGGGAACTGTCTGGGTTTTTTCTTTTTAAGGAAGTGTGAGTGGCTTTTTAAAGAAATGAATGTGTTAAAGAGAATGTTGATCCTGGTGACAGTGCGAGGCCTCTCATGTGCAGGGACATGCACGTTGCAAGCAGACACTGTGCAAGTTTCCCCCATGCAGCCTGCCTGATTCACTTCAATCCAGGCCTGCATCATTCGCTGCTATTCCATTTCTGCCCCGCCTCCACAGTTCGGCTGATCACCTCACTGCCAGCCTGTAGCACCCTCTCTTATTCCAGACCGAGGCTTCTCACACAGCTCTGTCAGTGCACTTCAATCCTGACCCACATCATCCCCTGCTATTCCGCTCCTGGGCCCCTTCACACAGATCCGTTGGTCCACCTCACACCTGACCTGCAGTCCCTACTATTCCAGTTCAGGCCCTCTGCTGTCCGGACATGGCTAGCAGTGCTGGGATTTTAGGTGGTTTTGTGATATTCCTGAAGGTGCATATAGGAAGCAATTTTGCACTCCCTGTCCCTGCTGTCCTCCAGTGTTTTTGCGCATCATGTGATCCAGATTCGAACTGAGCTTTCCAGAAGCACTTACAGAGCTGCTGCACCCCTGAAGTTTGATAAGCATCACTTTATCTATCAGTCTCTGTGTTTCAGCGCCTTGCGGTGCCAGCAGTGACGGACAGCTCCATCAAAGTTTGCTCCAAACTCCTTCTCCATCACATTCACCTTGCCGGGAAACAGGCATGTGCCACACAAGGACCCAGGATCACCAGTCAGCCCATTTCCACTCCATGGGCAGGGAACCAATCATAGGGGATAAACCCCCCTGTTCCTGGTCGAGGATCCTTGCTCAGTGCTCCAAAGGAACGTGGAAGACAGCCTGAGTTTCCAGTTGGTTCATGTGTAGGGTGCATCGCTTGTGCAGAATGGATGGGCTAATGTGTGAGCACCACTGTCCTTTACTGGCTGAAATCAGATCTGCTCAACCATGTGTCATAGGCCATGCATTGCTAGCAACTTATGGCGATTCTTCTTTAGCTCAAGTGGCAGGGGCCTGAGCTTCTGGAGCAGAAGGATCAGAGCTGTAACCCAGCTGTTGCTGAAGTTCTGCAAGACCTAGGTGTGCAGCATGGTGACAAATATGGTGGTCTAGATGGCCATGGATTTATTATAATATTCATATCGGATGCCTCAAATGCTCTCTTCCCACTGAAGACATTAAGATGAACCCCAGTGGGTGAAATTTACGAGATCCACCTCAAGCTCCCCAGTTAAGGAGGATTGTAGAGGAAACTGACCGGCCCCAGAGTGGGACACCTGGAAAAACAGGCCAGAGATCTCATGTAGCTGTGAGTGGGAGGGGCTTAAGGGAGGGAATGTGTGGCAGCATACAGCAGAGGCTTATTTGCATTGCTGCAAGGATCCCCTGGGGGCAGGAGCCTGCTGTCTTCTCCCTACTGAGGTGATGCTGACAGGGAATGGAGCCAGCTCTGCTTCTCCCTCTGGCTGGATTCCTGTGGTTGAGTCCTGCAGGTGAGCGGGCTCCCCTCTAATGAGCTCTCCCTGGGGCAGGCTGGGATTGACTCCCAAGGGGGCCATCTTTAGATTTTTGTCATGGCAACCCCCAGGACTCTTGCCGCCTCCTCCTGCCCCTTTGCTCTGAGTTTTCTGCCTTTCAGGACACGACCTGTAAAGCAAACGAGAAATAGGTAAAAGATCCGAGACCGAGGAGACTGCAGGAAAGATCGGAGACCTCCGCTTCTCTGTTGTGACGCTCTTACTCTCTGCCTTCCCTACAGGACGGAGTCTGTGGCTGAGAAGATGCTGACGAATTGGTTCACGTTCCTCCTGTACAAGTTTTTAAAGGTAAGTGTGGAAGAGGGCCTGGCCTCCTTCCCTGTGGGAACCATCTCTCTGCTCAGATGGGATGTTGTGTGGATGGGGTTCCCAGATCTGCCACTGATTTTCTGTGTGACTGTGGGCATGTCGCTTCCCCACTTTGTGCCTCAGTTTCCCCCTCTTTCTGTAAAATGCAGCTAGTGATTCTAACTCACCTCCCCACAGGGCAGGGTCTTGTCTAGCCTAACACAAAGGGCTGGTCTACACTGGGAACATTCATCTCTCAGGGGTGTGAAAAACCCACACTCCCGAGAGATGCAGCTATGCCGACCTTATCCCCGGTGTAGACAGTGCTAGGTCTCTGGAAGAATTCTTCCGTCAACCTAGCTACTGCCTCTCATGGGGGTGGATTAGGAGAACTCCTCCTGTTGGCATCGATGGTGTCCGGACTGGAGTGGCACAGCTGTAGTGGTTTAAGTGTACACATACCCAAAGTGTTTTGAGCTCCCTGCATGGAAAGTGCTAGAGCAAGGCCCGGTGCTGTTGTCACCTGAATCCTGAGGGCCTTGCTCAGCCCAACCCCCACTTACGGGACTGGGAGTTTGCCAGAGTAATGCAGGAGCCAGGGTCCCAGGATTGGCCCCTCCCTGTTAAAGCTCTCGCTGTGGAAGCCAGCTGGAAGGCTCTGCAGCCCATTCGACGTAGAGCCTGTTCTGCTGCCCTGCCCTGTCTGTTCGGCTGCTTTGCTTTTCTCTGTATCTTTTATAGCTAAGGCTGTTTAGCAGGGAAACGGCACCTTGCAGAGTCCCTCAGCTCCAGCCATTCACCACCCCCCCCCCCCCCGCCCAAAGCTGCCATCATGCTGACTGAGGTGTTGGCAGTGTGGGGCGGGGATTCAAACAGCAGGAACCAGGTAGACTCTGACCAACACAGGTGCTGCTCTCACGCTCACATCGTGTAGGCCCAGCATGGCAGATCAGCAACACGGGAGCCGAATGGCCTCTCAGTAGGCTGTTCTCCCAAGCTGTTCGGGAGGTGTCAGTGCCTTTAGAAGGAGCCCCCTTCTTTCAGCCAGGCTCATGGCTTCTCCATACCCAGTTGGCACACAGCATCTGCGTTTCCTTCCCTGCACTTGCAAACCCGGTGGCCACAATTCACCCCGGCGCAGCCCCACCCGCGGTAGCAAGCGGGGAAGCTGAAGTGGAAATGGGGTGGGAGCATTTTTACTGCTGGCTCATCTAATATTATTCAGCGGAGATAAAACCACCTGAGTGCTGTCTACTCGACTGGCCCCACCGTTAGGGCTGCACCAGTGGCAAATTGCAGCGGCCAAGTTTGCTGGCTCAGTCGTAGAAACAGTGGTCTGCTGCACGCTCCAGAAGGAAACAAGCTGGGTTAATGGTGCTGCCTGTTTGTCAGTCACAGAGCCACTTCCCCAGGACCTCGCCTGGTGTTTACTCAGCGAGTCCTGGTGGCACGGAGCCGTTTTTGTGCGATTTCATCCCTCATTAAGATAAAGAAAGTTTGAACCATTTCCAGGAGAGGAATGTGTGTGAGCAGGCGTCTGTGCGGACCTGGAGTGATCGCCAATGAGAGGTGATTTATAATATCACTTACATGCACTTGGCGTTGTGCCTCTGTCTAGGGATGGCCCATATCTATAAAAATATATCGGTACAGTGTCTGTCGCTTTCCCACGGCAGGAGAGGAGTGAGCTTTCGCCTTTAAAAACCCGCCATGTCCTCCTCACTCCGTGGGTTTGCATTTGCGCATCACCCTTTGCGTCGCAAGGGGTTTCAAAGGGCTTTATAAATGAAGGCAGCGAACGATCCATGCCTAGTGCCCCTCACCACATAGGGCCGGCTCCAGCATTTCTGCCGCCCCAAGCAAAAAAAAAAAGCCGCGATCGCAATCGCGACCGGCGGCGGCAATTGGGGAGGGGAAAAAAAAAAGCCGCGATCGGCGGCGGCAATTCGGGGGCACACCGCCCCCGAATTGCCGCAGGTGCCGCCCCTCTCCCTTGGCTGCCCCAAGCACCTGCTTGTTAAGCTGATGCCCGGAGCTGGCCCTGTCACCACAGCACCGGAGCCAAAGACACTGGGACAGACTCACGCTTTGGGGAAAGTGGCAGGTGATCTCCGGGGGCCAGACCTTTGGAAATGATTTGCTCTTGTAAAATACAATTGAGTGCATTTGTGCACCTGATTTGCTCGTGTAATTGTGAGTGTGCGTGCCATTGCACTGCTTGGACATGCTAATGCCCAGCGATGCATCTAGCTGGTTCTTTTCTCATGAAGTAAGTGCCACTGTGTGAGTGAAGGGGGTTGCAAAGGCTCTCACATTTCTGTGCATGTAACTGTGCGTATTCTAACAACGGGTTTCTGGCTCCGTGCGTGGGGCATACGGGAGCTGGTCTCGTTCAGATGAAACCCACAGAGTGAGCTACTGAGGTAGGCAAATTGTATTCCATAAAGGGTGAAGGGCTCAACTAATCCTGCTGGGAGTTGAACGGGCAGTTCAGGGTCTGGCTGTTTCAGCCTCCATGCTGAGCCGATGTCCTGTGTGTGCTTTGCCCTCCTTGCTGACACCTCGATACATTGTTGTCTGATTTGAAAGCTCCTCTGAGTCAATTCACTCACTGTCTGTCCTGGGGCATGACTCCCAGGAAGAAGTTAAGAGGAAAAGAGAGAGTTGGGGAGGGGCCAGGAACATCTCCTCTGTATGGAGATGTTTGGCTAACTGGCAGCGGGAGCGGATGCAATCTCCCAGGTCTAAAGAACAGTGAAAAGAAGGATTATTTAGGGCAGTACCGAGGGGCACAATTAAGGAAAATGTGTGCAGATTACCAGGACAAACTTGCTGGCAGTGAGATCTGTTAGGCTGTGAGATAGTCACCCAGGAGAAGTGGTGGAAGTCTCATTGCTTGCTTGGGACACCTAAAATTAGCCTGGACAAAACCCTAGAAGATGTGTCTGATAGGGACTGCTCCGGCCTTAATCTCAGGGAGATGGAATGGGTGGGACCCGCGGCTAGAGCCATGTAATTTCTGTGATTCTGTGAGGTGAGGCTTGCAGGTGGCAGGGAGAGAAAACCCCAGAGGTGGATGGAACAGGTATTGCAGCAGATAGTTCGCCAGTAGGGAAACATATGCCTTGCACCAAGTAGTGGTAATTGCGCATGTAAATTAGGCATGCGGTGGGGCTAGCCGTTTTGTGTGCACAGCTGCTAGGACACTTCTCAGAAACAACTGCCCTGGAAGGGCCCTGATGCCCTTTTTGTTTGAGCAGGGGTTGAACCGGTGTCTTCAGCTGATGTGAGCTGCTGATCTGGTGCAAAGCCATAGACGGCAGGACCTCTTGTCTCTGGCTTTCCCCCAAGGAGAGCTTCCAGGAGCACGTATGACCAGTGACAGCAGGAGTGCAGTGAGCAGGATGCAATTTGTACACTCGCTGGCAGACGCATTTGCCCCCCATGCCTGCGTGCATTGTGCCCACGGTCTAGCAGGGTGGATGCACTCCCTGGGAACTCCCATGGTGGCTAGCACCTAGAGATGCGGCTTCACAGAGCGATCTGGCAGCATGTGACTCAGATGGCCAGTCATCATACACAAGTGGGAAATTGCGTGTTGTTTCTCACAGTGCAGTGCAGGTGTCTAGCTCCACCCAGTGTAAGAATTAAACTGGTTCTAGGATAGGATCCCAGAGCTCCTCTCTCCTCCTGCTTAGGTGTCTCCTGGCCCTGCCTCTTGAGGAGGAAATGGGGACAGGCGGCAGCAGTAGAATCAGCAAGGCCTGGTGCTTTCATAGGGCCCTGCAGCAACATTCATCAGACTCTTAATGAGACACCTCAGGGGAAGGCAGAAGGGAAAAAAATAGAGATGAGCATTGAAAAATGCACGGTATTAGGTGCCTGATGAGCTAAATCTCGTCAGTAAGACACTGTGAGCATTTGCTGGTTTGGCTCAGACTGCCTAGGGCCTATTCCCCCGCCCCCTCTCCCCCCATGCAAATGTATGCGCCATACAAACATTCCCTTACACGCCTCCTTCCTGCAGCTTGTCTTGCTCCTGCGAGGGAACTTCTCCAGGAGCATTTTCCTTTGTAACTTTTTCACAGACACACTAAGAGCTGGCAGTGGTGCAGCTCAAAGCTTGGGCAGAATTGCATTCTAGAGCCAGGCTGCCCTCTGTGCTGTCGGGGCGGCACATCATTGGGTACGTTTCAGAGAGGAGATCCCACACTGGGGTGTCCCTGGGCCCCTCTTTTATTTTGCTTTCTGTAGCAATCTGGAATTGTAGGGAGCTCCTAAGGGAACCATCTGGTCAAGGTCAAAACCCCGCCCCCCAGTTTCTGGTTAGCATCCCTCTCTCCGACCTGGTTGGGAGGAGGTGAAAAGTGGTGGCAATGCTTTCCTCCATTCAGGATAGTGTAACCATATAGGGCTAAGATGGCCTGTCCCAGGTCTGTCCCTCGGGATGCTTTGCAGGGTTCCACTGACATTGAGAATGGGATCTGCTGCAAACAGCTGACTGCTGGCTCTCTTGGGCACTGGCTCCAGATCACCGGTCGCTATCTCACAGCAGTGGGAGTGCCTTGTGGATTCCTTTCAGATCACCCCGGGGGTCATGCACTCCAGCTCCACAGTAAGATGGCAACCAGTCTGGGCGCTGTCTGTCATCTTTGCTTCTGCTTGGAATGGACCAGAGAGTTAGTCAGAAAGAGTAAGAGGAAGGGGAGAACTGTCTGGCATAGGGCCATTGGTAACAGTCCACAGAGCCTTTCACCTCTTATATTTGATTGTGGCAGGGAGAGACCAAAAATCATTCCCATCTAATGGCCCATCTAATGGTGACCTGTGTGAAATGATCAGGTGGTGTCAGTCCAGCTGCAAGAGAACAGGGGTCTGCAGTGTGGAAAACCCACCGTGATTGGCACTAATTGCTTCCCCTTGCTGGAGAGCTCGGCAGAGAAGCCAAGGATTGAATGGACTATAGGGACATACCTGTCATTTTTAGAGGGGGTCTCTGCAGGCCTGGGTGGAGGAAGCTCGTACTGCAGTTGCCTGGGCTGTACTGCTTCCTCTAGGCTGACAACCTGTCACCGTTCCAGAATGCTAAACTTGCTTTAAAGGATCAAATTGGTTAATTAGTTAATGTCTCTCCACCCCTTTGCATACAGAAAGTCCCGCGTTCCACATTCATTTTCTTTCAAAAGGGGGATCTTCAGAGCCTCACTGGGTTGGAAAACGAAATGGGTCAGTGCTCAGGGGTGACATTTTTAAAAAGCAATCTGCTACGGCAGCGGGTTCCTGTAGAGAGTGGGGCCGGACTGCCGGCGAGAGGGAGAAAACTGTGTGTTGAGAATGGAGCAGATAAACGAGATGTGACCATGAAGCCTGCTCCAATTTATTCTTCATCTGTGTCACTTTCCCCTGGCTGGGAGTTTTACAGGAGCTTTTATAAGCAATCAAAGGAAGTGACTCCCTTTCTTTACTCTCATGAAAGCAGGCAAAGAAAGTGAACTAGAAAGGCAGGCGCATCTCCGCCGGCTGGAATGGAATTGCTGAGCGGGCTTGTTGGTTTACGGTCATTATTTTGCTTTTGCGTTACGAGGAAGCTATTAATAAACAGCACGGCACCCACACTGGGGCTCTTTCTCCCTCTCTCTCTCTTTTCCAAGCTGACTTAATGAAGCCAAGTTTGCAAATGAAACATAATTTCAAAGACAGGCGTGTTGTCGGAAGGTCTGGGGATGATGTATGCCTGTTCCTGCTCGTTAGCAGCTGTCTCTTTAATTACCGCAGATGCTAACGAGATGCTAACAGCATATGGTGACAGGGAGAGCAGCCGCACTTTGCACCAAAGTACAATTTATTTGTAAGGCGGACAGGTTGGGGGGGCGGTGCTGGTTGGGTGGAAGCGGTTGGATTTTTTTCTTGCCCCCCCCTCCCCCGCCGCTCTTCCTGTCCCTGTTTGGTTGGGGTAAAGCCTGCTTCTGGGAGGCACATGCAGTTCAGAGGGAAGGTTCAAGTTGTGGGGCACTATGTTAGCAGTGTCATTGCTGTGGGACTTGGCTCTCCCGTTTCCCCCACTCCCACGTCCCTGCTCTCCCAGTCCCCCTTTCATCTCCTCACCACTTCCATTTGCCCTGACCCCGGTACATTTCCATCCCATCCCCCCTCACACTCCACCCCTCCCCTAGAACCCTTGGTCGCGGGATGGTACCGTACCTATACCCTTGGCCTGGCCTTGTCTTTTTCGAGAATGTTGCAGTTTAATACATTTTCCATTGTGGCCCCTTTTCATGCATCACTGTCCTGTAGTAATGCTCATTTCCATTTGTCTCCCCCGCCCCTCTTTATGGGGCAGTGGTGGCTGAAGGGTTGCAGAGGAGTTGGGTAGCCCGTTGTTTGACAGTGAGGACATGCCCTGCTTCCTAAGCAGGCAACGTGGGTGGCCACGTGACTGGGTGAATTGAAGGAAACCCCATCACTCAGCCCAAGCCTCCACTGAGAAGCCAGCGGAAGAGGTTGTTGGTAGTGAGTTGGCCTCTTAATCATTCTGTCTCTTGAATCTGGCTGTGGGCCCCATTGCCATATCAGCGTTGCCTATTTATCCTTCTGCCCACCTGAGTCTGGCCTCTCAAAGGAAGCTAAGGGTGTAATCCTTGGTTATCCCGCTTTGTAATCGTTGGGTGGAGTCCGTGATGCTACCCCTCCCCACCCTCTTTGGCCGGGTGTCCAGTTCGTGGGTGGTTTCCTTTGGCCAGTTCAGGCCATCGATCATATTCCACAAGCTCAGAATACCCAAGATGGCTGACGGAGCTCGCCCAGATCAGATTTAGAGGGGTGCTCTGAGCACAGACTAGCTCTGCTGCTGACTCACTGTCTGACCTGGAGCTTAACCTCTCTGCCTGCATCTCCCCACCTGTAAAATGGGCTCACTCCTACCTGAACAGGGTTCGGCAGAGAATGGCTGGAAAGCATTGTGGGAATGGGCTAGGGGTTATGATTCTAATTAAAAAATAAACTAGGGAATTGTGCAATGAAACAAACAGCAGCTGGTTCTGAGGGCGATAAAAGGAGGTAAATTGCCTCCATTTGCCCCAGCTGTTGAGATCACAGCACGGGTCATTTTTGTGCACACATAGGGCAGTATTTTATAGCTAATGCTCCCCAAAGCATTTGGCAACATAGCGTGTTTGCTATTGGTAACAGAGCTGCAGAAAGGTAGTCTGGGACTATCTTGGCAAGTGCTGGGGACAGTATTTATAAAGCCACACACTGGTGATTGAACATGGCAGACTCCTGCATTCTGCTTCTCCTTGTACTAGCTGAGGGCTTCCTTGAAGGGTTAGGGTTGGTGTCTGGTGGTTTCTCACCTCTCCCTTTACCCCACAGGAGTGTGCTGGAGAGCCTCTCTTTATGCTGTACTGTGCCATCAAACAGCAGATGGAAAAGGGACCCATTGACGCCATCACCGGAGAGGCCCGCTACTCGCTGAGCGAAGACAAGCTGATCCGGCAGCAGATTGACTACAAAATGCTGGTTAGTGCAAGCGGGAGCCTCGCCCAGGACTGGTTCTTGCCAGGACCCCTAGGTTCAGCTATTTAACGAGGTCTTTGAGGCGCCCAAGGTACTTTGCAGAGGGCAGTTTGTGTCTCATTTTTCTCTCTCTAGCATTCCTGGTAGTGCCTCTTACCCTGACCGCGTTGTTCTTCACGTGTCCTGGGCTGGGGAGGGTGGGTGAGGCATGACAGGGCTCGCCATCGCAGGAGAGCTGAGAGAGCTGAGCGCAGGTCAGCCCCCCCTCTTGGATGGATGGATGCAGTGCATTGACACACCCTGGGGCCCTGACAGAGATGGAGGGGGAAGGAGATGCTATTGAGCGTAGCCCATTGTGGGCAGGGGCTTGGACCAACCAGCCGATGGGTTTTCTGGGGTGGGATGAGGGTGTCCTTGCAAAGGACAGAGATGGCTGTAGGTATATATCTTCTTCCTTCTTTTCAGAGCCTGGAATTAGGTATTAGCTCTCACCTCCTCCCACCCCACCCACCTTGATTGCCTTGTCTGTCCAACCGCCTCTGGGTGATTCAGTAAAACCCTTCCCATGACTAAACCCAGTGCTGACTCCTCCCTGCTTATCTTCAGTTGGATTGCTTTGGAAGTGTGGGGGCGGGGCATTGGTCACCCTTCTATTGCCTATTATCCACAGAACATGCATTGAGCTCTTACCATTCATAGCTAAGGGCTTGTCTACATTTAAAATGGTCTAGTGGCACAGCTGGGCCACTGTAGCACTTCAGTGTAGACAGGAGGGGTTCTCCTATTGGCATAGGAAATCCATCTCCCCCACTCAGGAGCTTGGATTTTTCACACCCCTGCCTGATTTAGTTAATCCAGCCTCATTTTCTAGTGTAGGCCAGCCCTACGATTATGTAGGAATAGTCTCTCTGAAGCACCATCTATTGCTTTGTCCCATCAAAACATCTGTGAAGTTGGAACTGCTGATTGTCCCATGTTGTGCTCTCCAGAAGGTGGGGACAGGGACTTCTCCTACTCCACCTTCTCTGGAATACGTCCAGGCGTGGGTGTGGCTCAGGATTGCACTGTTCTGTGGGTTTGTTCTAGTTTGCTGGCTGCTGGGATCCCCTTGTTGATATCTCTCTGCCTTCCTGGGGTGAGGGGGTTAATTATATTCAGCTTTGGGGTCAGGGGAATGCTTCAGAGCTGCCACTCCTCAAAACTAACTGCCCCTGGATGTGGAGGCACAGCCAGTGGACAGCTGTGTGACCTGTGCCCCTGGCTATATGTTCCTGGCCAAAGGTGAGGTGCGTCCCATCACACAAGTCTCTCTGCTTCCCTGTGCTGCACAGACGCTGAACTGCGTGAACCCTGAGAATGAGAATGCCCCCGAGATTCCCGTCAAGGTTCTGAATTGCGACACCATCACACAGGTGAAGGAGAAGCTGCTAGATGCCGTCTACAAGGGCGTGCCCTACTCCCAGAGACCCAAGGCAGGAGACATGGACCTGGGTGAGATTAAGAGACAGAGGCATTTGCCATATGGGTAGGACAGAAGGAGCATCAATGTCAACTGGAAGATCCTGATGCGAGGGGCCTCAAGCTAATCTGAGTGTTTCCATAGAAGGTGGAGGCAGAGCACCCAATGCAGGTGTCCTGTAGAACACATGGCCCAGAATGACCATTGCATTTGATCCTGTCTTAATCCACCACTGCGTAACAATGGGGAACGTGTATCCAGTAGCTACGGGCTAGCTGTTCAGTATGCAAGGTACACACAACAGTGTGTATGACGGAAACAGCTTGGTGTTAAATGCTCCACACTGGCAAGCAGGAAACCTGACTGCAATTCCCAGGCCTGGACTCCTACCCTCCAGGCTGCCCAAGACAGGCTGTGTAGCAGAGATTATGTTTTTGGACCCCCGAGAGGGTGGGAGAGCCACACATCTCCCAACAGCAACCCCGGGGAATGGTTTGAAAGGAGCATTGACTGGAGCTCCAAAGCAGGGAAGGAACCATTCAGTCCCTTTGGATGGGGTTCTGGTGCTAGTGGCTTTGACCTCAGAGCAACGGCTGCAAACTACGGAGGAATCGTCACGGTGACAACAAAGATGGGAGGAACCTGGGGAATAAAACTGTGCATTGTAACAACTGGAGGGCGGTGGGTTGGAGACATCTCTGGGTTGGTTTGTGATCTGCATTCCTGGCAGTGGGTTGAGACTAGAGCAGAGGAGACCAGAAATGGTGACCCATCCCATTCCCAGCCAGGGGCTGGAGGATGGAGACTAGAGTAAAGTTAGCTCAGTGATGCCGGACCCAAACTGATGCCCAGTTTCTTCACTTGGGTGCTTAGAAATGGCTTTTAAACAGCGACACGCCCAGTGCATTAGATACTCTTTAGAAGGAGCAGCTTCCTACCTGTTTGTGCCAGGGCTCCTTCTCTCTCCCTCTTCCCTTCCCATTCGTTTTGTGTCCCATCTAGAGTGCCACTAACTCCCTGTCTTTCTCTTTCATTGGTGCAGAGTGGCGGCAGGGCAGGATGGCCCGAATCATTCTGCAGGATGAAGACGTGACCACAAAGATAGACAATGACTGGAAAAGGCTCAACACCCTCGCTCACTACCAGGTCCGGTCGCCCACCGGGGTAAACCACTGGGGTAGGGCAGTGGGCAGTTTCCAGCTGTCAAGGAACTTGGCCTAGCCTGGGTACCTGGAGGTTTAATGCTCTTCTCTAGCATGTTGTAGGAACTGGGTTTGGCTGCTAGCCACATCCCTCACTTCTAGTGCTGCAGGGAGACCAGGCCAACGGGCCTAATGGCCACTGCTCTGGGCTGGCATCTGGAGACTTAGGTTCACTACCCAGTGTTTTGATCTCTGGAGATGGCAGGTAACACCTGTGAGCCTCACAGAGTGGAGATGAAGCTGCTCATCTCCCTGCCCAGCAAACCCACCAGCGAGTGAGGGAACAGCATCCATTGGTTCTGATGAGCATCCCATTTAGTGCTTCCCAGATGGAGGGATAGGATTGCAGCCGGAGGCCTTCACGGTGTGTGTGTAACGGGATAGAAGATTGTTTCAGGGCTGCATCAAGGCTTTGAGGAACCCTCTCCTTTCCCAAGGGTCAGTGAAGGGCCAGATCAGGGACCCCTACTATCTTATCTGAATTTCAAGGCAGCTGTTGGGATTCCCATTGAAACCACTTAGATCCAAGGCCTTGCTACCCCCAGAGGCTTTGTTGTGTGGAGTCGGTGGAGAAGGGTGGTTCTGGTTTGCATTTCCCTTGCTGTGCAGAACCTTGCTGTGCATCTCCATGAGTCACATTCTGGTCACTCTGCTCTGCCTTTAGGTGACTGATGGCTCCTCTGTGGCACTGGTGCCCAAGCAGAACTCGGCATACAACATCTCCAACTCTTCCACCTTCACCAAGTCACTCAGCAGATACGGTGAGTGTGGAGGAAATCCCACAGCCTGTTCTCTGGAGCCAACAGGAACAGCCCTTCTGGACGGGCCAGGGACGAGGGTGTGTACGCAAAGCACAGAACACAAAAGGAGGCAGACTACAGCATGCATGATGTATTGAAACAAGCACCACCAAACTTCCCAGCTCTCTTGTGCCCTCCCATTCGCTTTGGGCTCCATCCAAACAATGAGCACAGCCTCCGGTAACCACATGCCCTTCTCCTTTATTGGTGCAACATGGTACACGGTTGAAATGTACATCTGGGGCAAACAGGGAGCGCTGCTAAGGGATCTCCCTTCCTAGACAGCGAACACACAGGCTGCAAATTCAGATAGGCACAGGGACATCCGAGTCAAGGAAGGTTTGTGTAAGTGAATTTCAGGTGCACAAGAGGTGCTGCAGTGGCAGCTTGTAGCCTGAAGTCCTTTGTGCACCCCAGAACAGGAACAGTACAAGAATCTGCAGAGCAACTTTGCTCACACTGTCCTGCCAGTGTGCCTCCACCCTGGTTGGAAGGGACCATTCTGTCTGCTAAGACTAAAGCAAGAGGCCAGATTGTGGGTGTGGTTGTTCTGTGGATACCTGTCTGCAGGCGAAGAGAAGGGAGGTAGAGGGCAAGCAGACAGGAGGGAAGGGAAGTTCCCATTATGTTTGGTTTTCCCACAGAGAGCATGCTCCGGACAGCCAGCAGCCCCGACAGTCTACGTTCACGGACCCCCATGATCACGCCCGACCTGGAGAGTGGTACCAAGCTTTGGCACCTAGTGAAGAATCATGACCACATGGACCAGCGGGAGGGAGACCGGGGCAGCAAGATGGTGTCCGAGATCTATCTGACCCGTCTGTTGGCCACCAAGGTACAGCACCGGGAAGCAAGGATGCCTGGTTGCATTCAAAGGGGGAGGTGAGGTTGGAGATGAGGGTGCTAACTGGGAACCATTCCTGGGGTCCCCTTGATTGTGCCAGCCAACCAGCTTCCTTGCCTGGTTACAGTACAGGTCAAATACAGATAACTCTAGCTAAATGCCTTTAATATCGCCTATGGCCAGGGAGCAGTCTGGAATCAGGTTCATGCAGCTACCGCGACCTACCCTTTCTCTGATCTCCCAGCAGCTTGGCCCCAGAAGTTTGTACCTCCCACTGTTACAGCTGCATCAAGCAGGATTCAAAATGTGCCCCATCTGTCCTGTTGCCTTTGAGTTCCACCAGGTGGCTCTGCCCCGCCCCTGTTGTCTCCATAGTCCACCACATAACCCTGCCCTGCTATCTTCAGACTCAGCCCCCACCAGTGCTAAGCTCCACCGTAGGGCTCAACCTCCATTCCTGCTGTCTCTTCACCTAACCAAGCACTTGCAGCACTGATTACATCTGGCCAAGCAAATAGCTGCAAAGCCCAGTTTTGCTGCCAGGCTGTTGAAGAAGCAAAGCTTCCACCCATCCTGCAGTGTCTGCAAACACTGATTTCCCCAGTGCTCGTTGTTCGAGTGGTGAGAGATGTTATCATTTTACCAGTTCTTTGCATTTGCAAAAGAGGGGCTGGGATAGCTTAGGACACAAATGCTCTAAATTCTGCCATTGCCACATGTACGGTCAATAGGAGAGGCAGACAAAATCCTACTGCTGTGCTTTGAGGGGAGGGACCCCCTGTTAATTGCAGGAGCTGAGATACACATGCTATACGGTATTCCTTCTCCTCCAAACCAAGCCCCACCATCAACTGTAGCAGTCGGCTATGGACTTTAACTCCTTCACTACTGGTGACCTGCACTGCTGTTATATTTCCAGTGGCACTCTGTGGAGCTCAGTGGCATGGTAGAACAAACCTGGAACATTCAGAAGCAAATCAAATGTGTTCTGCCCACGCCGAGCTAATGTAGTCAATAACACAGCAGGTGCATTCTATCTGGGATGGACCTGGTGCATTTGGCAGCAAATCAGAGACATCAGACTGTAATGTCTCGGGGGCAGGGACCGTGTCTTGTTTCTTTGTATAGTGCCTAACACACTTTTGAGGTGTTCAGTGAAGAAATAATGATGATGTACTTCATACATTTGGTATCAGGGCAAGTACATCTTACCTGGGCATGCTCAAAACCTTCAGCAGCACAGCAGCTGCTGTATGTCTGAGACTGACCTAGAGAGGAAGGGTAGGCTACGGCACTGAATCAGGACTCAGGAGATCCAGGTTCACTTAGCACTCATGTGTCTGTGTTCCCCATCTGTATAATGGGGATAATACTTCCCCAGCTCATAGGGGAGCTCAGGGTAAATTCATTAATGTTGGTGAAGGACTCAGACACCCTAATGGGAGTCACTTGGTCTATATGGTATTTTTCATTTGATTAGTTAACTCCAATAGTTCCTTTCAGTTGGGTTTCCAAGTTGAGCTCTGCTAACCAGGGGTTAAAAGCCACGACCACGTCTATCTTTGGAATCCAGTAACCAAACAATACAGTGCCATAAAAAAATGAATCATCTAAATGGGTTTCCCTCATTATTCAGACAGGGCAGTGACCATGAAGGAAGGACTATGCCATGCTGTAAAGCAGCACAATATATTTATCTTTTGGGGTAGACACGTAGTGGCTTGTGTTATGATGCCAGACAACACCCCAGAATCTCTGATGCAGGCTTGTGAGATCTTCTTGTCACCACAGTGTATTCTCCCCATTAAGGACCAGTGTGGTTCCATTGATTTCCTTGATACCTCCTTTGGCTTCGGGCCTCCTCCCCACAGCCCCGTCTCGGATGATGGACCGTTACTGGTGATAGCAGTGATGTTAATATCTGAAATGGATGGCTAGCCCCATTGCTTTCTCCTTTCTTCCAATGCTTGACTTTCTGGGCAGTACTGAGCAGCAACTCCCCCTTTCTCATCTCCAGGGCACCTTGCAGAAGTTCGTCGATGACCTGTTTGAGACCATCTTCAGCACGGCACACCGCGGGAGCGCCCTGCCCCTGGCCATCAAGTACATGTTCGACTTTCTGGACGAACAAGCCGACAAACATCAGATCAACGATTATGACGTCAGGCACACCTGGAAGAGTAACTGGTAATTGGGCAGGTGCCGGGGGAGGGAGAGGTGTCAGCCGTTCCCATTTGTGCTATCCCAGCTAATGAATGTCTCCAAGCTTCTGAGGTGAAATTTGGTTATGTCAACCTCAGCCAAGGCAGATTAACACTAAAAGTGACCTGGGTCAGCTGGAAACGTAGGGCACCTAAGCCTACTTGTATACCAGTATTTCTTGGGGTGGGTGAGTCGCAGGCACATTCTGCTATAACAAGTAGTCCCAGCAATGCCACCCTTCCCATAAACGTCATATCCTGAAGTACTAGGTGCTCCATGATTGAAGTATGGCTGGGCTGTGCAGTTAAATGTCCAGCTCACCTGGAGATTGATGGGATGTGGGCTCCTAGCTCCCTAGGCACCTTTGCAAACCCTAGGCTATATTTTCGTACCACCCGTCCTACCAGTGTTTGTGATGTGCACTCCAGCCTGCCACATAGCCAAGCATGTCGTAATGAAGATAGTGTAATACCACACACGCATCCTCCCTAGCCGAGCCTGAAGAACCGACCCATCAGGCTTGCTAATCACTTCCAGGAAAGGGGGGCAGGTGCTGATGAGATCTCCATGAACAATGTGATGGGGCTAGCACTCCACCGGGTATAGGCTTCGCTTCTCCACAACTCCCCCCTCGCCCGGCATTCTTCTTTTCTGCTGCCTCGCTGATTTCATCTCTCTGATCTCCTTGCCGCTACTGGCAACGAGTACATACGTTCCCATGTCTGGCATTTGTTAAATGGCAGCCAAATTGCTTTTGTATAGTTCAGTAACTGTCGGCAATTAGTAGGGTAGGAAAAGAAACATTTTTAAATGGAGATATGAGAGTGCGGAAGCACTCGGAACTGATTTATAACTCTGCTTTCTATATTAAAGGAAGGAAGGAGTTGGTGGGGGGGCCCAGTTCCACAGGGCCTGGGATGCAGGCTCCTGCATACTAATGTTCACGCTTATCTCTGGGCGCTAATTCGATGTGTGGAGCTGATTTCTTGAGGCCGCTCCCTTCACGGATTGAAATATGTATGTGCATCCGGCACCCTCATTATAAGAGTCCCGGGGAGCCCAGATTTGGCATCTTAGACAGAAGCACTGTTGATGACATAGGGAAGCTTAGGAGGGGCTCTCAGGGGTTTTATACCAGGGATCGATCGCTGAGGACCTTCTAATGAGAGTTAGATGCTACTGAGAGGAGGGTGATATAAGGATAGAATAGAAGAGGGGCATGCATATGTGCTGTGAGCAAGCACGTGGTCTGTCACTAGCCAGGATTCCCCTCTCTTGCTGTGAGCCCATCTGATTCATAGATTTGCTATCTCAATATCTGATGTAGCCTACGTTTTCCTCAGATAATAAATGCCCTAGTGAGTCCCTTAAAGAGCCCAACAATTCTCCTCCCACATGAGCCTGTCTGGGACCTTTGTAAAGTTCCGCGAGGGGTTTTAGAAAGGATCAGCTGAGGGGGGAAGGAGATGTTGCACAATTTGGCATAAGCCATAGGGTCTGGGCATAAGCAATGGCTGTTCCATGGGAATGGAACCCGCTCCTATGGAATGGGAGCAGATAGCTGATCCGGTCCTAGGAACCGAGGCAGTAGCAGTGTTCAAAGGGGTTAAACGGGACTCCTGAGGTTTTGATCAATGGGCTGTGGAAGCTTTGGTTTTCTGATAAGGTGGGATTTGGGGTTATGAGTGTGTGGGAGGAAAGGGGAGGGGAAGGACACCCAGAGGACTTGGAATGGAGATGACTCACTTGGCAGGTGGCAGTTGGACAGGAAAGAGAGGAAGAATACTGTGATGGCCTTCCTTTAGGGTCCTTGAAGACCCCATTGTGGCTGTGGGCCAGCAGGGAACTATTCCAAAGCAAAGTCTCTCCCAGACCCCTATGCCATACAAAATCTTTAGGAGCCCCTGCAATGTTGGAGTTACTTCAGAGGGAATGCATTAAAAACACCATTCACTGATGTAAATTCCAGGCACACCCTCCCTAGGCCCTGGGTATGTGAGGTTTGTAGATTGTCCTCCATCAGCACCCGTGCCCCAGATAGCTACAATAACCCAAGGGAGGGGAAAACTCCTAATGTAGAGTGAATGCCTACATCCATAGACTCCAGGAGGGGAGTACCTGGGAGCCATCAGCACCTCGTGTCATTGGCTTCCTCCTCTCCTGTGTGACTTGGCCTATGAGGAATATTAAAGTTGAGTCTACATGATGCTAGACCTTTGCTGGCCCCCATCTTAGAATCACAGAAATGTAGGGCTGGAAGGGACCTTGAGAGGTCATCAATAGAACCCTGCATAGATACAAAATTTGTATCCGCATCCGATCCGCAAACATGGTCCGTGGATGTAAGGTCTGTGGATATCCACAGATTTGCAGGGCTCTAGTCATCAAGTCCAGCCCCCTATGCTGAGGCAGGCCAAGTATACCTAGGCCATCCCTGACTGGTTTTTGTCTAACCCTGTCTTAAAAACCTACAATGAAAGGGGTTCCACAACCTCCCTTGGAAGCCTACCTCAGAGCTTCATTACCTTTATAGCTAGAACATTTTGCCTAATATCTAATTTAAATCTCCCTTGCTGCAGATTAAACCCATTACTACTTGTCCTGTGTTCAGTGGACATGGAGAACAATTGATCCCCATCCTCTTTATAACAGCCCTTAACATATTTTTGAAGAGTGTTTTCAGGTCCCCCCTCAATCTTTTCCCAAGACTAAACATGTCCAGTTTTTTAACCTTTCCTCATAGGTCAGGTTTTCTAAACCTTTTATCTTTTTTGTTGCTCCCTCCAATTTGTCGACATCTTTTGTAAAGGGTGGTGCCCAAAACTGGACATAGTGCACCAGCTGAGGCCTCACCTGTGCCAAATAGAACGGGACAGTTCCCTCCCGTGTCTTCCATACAACACTTCAGGTTGACATCCTCATGTTACAAGCACGTGGTCATAGCTGTGTCCTGTTTGTGTGGTGCTGCATCTGTTTAGTAATGCCTGGGCTTTTATGAGGGGTAGGGCATTGCAATTCCTGGTTCCATGCCCACAAACCCCACTGGGGTGAAGTGTCTATGACCAAAGCTGTGTGGTGAAGTGGCAGCTGCAGGATAGGAGCCGATTTATTCCTAACCAGCACTGCTACTGGATCAGACAGAGGCAGGCTGTAGTGATTAGGGAATCTTTCCTAGCACCTACAACTGTCATATGACAGCAAACTGATGCAGGGACCCCAAAGCATCCTCAAGTCCCGATCACCTCTGCCCTCTTTGAAATTGCTGACAAGGTCGAGAAGTTCCTCCCCCGAGGCCTCTCTCTTACTGTGCCCAGTGGATAGAAATGACCATATTCAGGATAAGCTTGAGGGTGTGATAGCCCAGGTGTCCAGGATGCCATTGGGGCGGTAGGTGAATGAATGTTTTCCCCAAATTGCTTATCTTTTTGTGGGGTTGGGGGAGAAGACTGCCAAATTCAGGCTTGAATCTGCCAAATTCAGGAAGCTGTCTGCACTAGCTCCTGTCTGGGGCCTTGTTTCCTGCAGTGACCATCTCTGTTCTTTCTTTCCTCAGTCTACCTCTGCGTTTTTGGGTGAATGTGATTAAGAACCCCCAGTTTGTGTTTGACATTCACAAGAACAGTATTACTGATGCTTGCCTATCCGTGGTGGCTCAGACATTCATGGACTCCTGCTCAACTTCTGAGCACAAGCTAGGGAAAGACTCTCCCTCCAACAAACTACTGTATGCCAAGGACATCCCCAACTATAAGAGCTGGGTAGAAAGGTGAGTGACCTCAGCATTGCTTCCTCCGTGCTGTATATACATTATGTCTGCAATATGCATATGGGGAAATTACAGACCTCATAGTCCTTATTGTGCATGGACTTGATTAATGCAGTGATCCTTCTAGGTTGTTCATCCTTTGAGTTCGAAGATGACCATGACATCATTGATTGGTTTGGTTTTTGTGAGCACGTGAGTGGCTGATCAGGCCAATTTGAGCTTTCAATTGTCTCTGGCACACTGAACAAGAGATACCACTATGGGTTACTTGATTAATCTTATCTTCAGCCATTTCCTCAGACAGCCCACGTGAAAGTGGTTCAGCTTTATAACGTGACATCTGTACACTGTCCATGTTTCGCAGGCATACGTCAAAGTTGGCAACATGATGGCTTTGTAGACCTTCAGTTTTGTTTGGTGCCTAATGCCTCTGCACTCGGACACATTTGCACAGTGTCTGCCAAAGGCCACGGTTGCTTTGGCAGTTCTGGCATTGGTTTCATCGTTGATGTGAACTGCATGTGAGAGTGTATTGCCGAGGTAGGCGAACTTGTCCACTGCCTGCAGGGTTTGGCCATTCACTGTGATAGCAGGCTCTACCTAAGGCTTTCTTGGTGCAGGCTGGTACATCGCTTTTGTCTTCTTGATGTTGATTGTGAGACCAAAATTGTCAGAAGGTGAAGAGAAATAGTCCATACTCTGCTACATGTCAGACGGAGATTGGAATTCAGGGAACAGTCATCAGCAAACAGAAGGTCATTAAGAGTCACTTTCTGTATCTTCATCTTTGCCTGTAGCCTCAGCAGATTGAAAAGCTTGCCATCAGTCTGGTATCTGATGCCAATCCTGGTGTCACAGTCATGAAAGGCATCTGTAAGCATGACAGAGAACGTCATACTGAAGAGGGCTTGGTTAATGCGGTGATTTTTCTATAGATAATCCCCCACAGGTGGATGGCAGAAGAGTCTCACTAACTATCTGCTGGAAGGTGGTCTTCTAGGAAGTGGAAAGTTCAGGAGGTCAGGGGCATCTGCCTGCTAATGGAGCCCCTTAGTGCCTTGTTTTGGGGTTGACATTTGGAGGCAGCCATTTATGATTGTTTATAGGGGAGCTGGGAGTGACGTCTGTTTTGAGATTGCCTAACATTTTCTATTGTAAGAGATTCTTGTGATCTTTGTCAAAAGCTCTAACCTCCGTTGTTTGCAGCAGGCCTTTGAAATTCATCAAGAAGAAAGCCCTTGGGCTAGAGAAGTGCCTCTTCTTTGTTCCATGAAAATCCATTCAGGTTTTGCTGAGATACAACGTGTTGAAAATTGCCCTTTCTCTTCTCTCATGTCTGCTCCTCAGGAAAAGTTTGGGAGCCTTCTAAAATAATAATTGAACATGAACATTCTAAGGCAGAGCCCAGGCTACTGTCAAAGCAGCAGCAGCTGTTGCCACTACACTGGGAATTCCCAGGTGCTGCCAGAGCAGCTATAGCGGGGATGAGGGGGGGAGAACCAGGCCAGGACCCCCTGAACTATCCTTCAACCCAGCACCTTGCTCAGTAGCCCATCCCCCATTCTGGGATAATAGCCTTCTCCTGTCATTAGCTGATGTAGCAGGTCCTGTGACTCAAGTAGTAGATGGCTGTGCTGCAATGCTGACATTTCCTGGTTCAAATCCTGCTTGTGATGTATGGCTGGGTGTTGTAACAGTCACACATAATCATTTTTTTTAACCTTTGTCTTTTTAAAGAAAATCTACAAAATTACATTCAAAAATACATAAAGTTATTTAGGGTGCAAAGCTGAACACTCGAAAGTTAGGAAATGCCAGATTTAAAGTTGCCTGTGCAGCCTTAATTCTGCCTTCTTGTGCGTATGTATAATGATAGTCTTTAACTACATGATCACGTTCCGTTTTCCCCACAGGACCCCTGTGTCATTCAGTGCACATGAATGGCCAAAGGGCCAAATTAAAGTTGCACAGGCAGCCATACATCTGGCATTACCTAACTTTTGACTGCTTGATTTTGCCTTCTAAATAATGTTCTTGTAATGTTTTTCCCAATTAAATATTTATATAACTCCATAGGGGCATGCATGGTGCTTTGCAGGCAAATTAAAAGACAAGGTTCCTGCCCTGAGGATCTTAGAACCTCAATTTGACTGAAAACACAAGAAAAAGGTCAGCAGGCCGCAAGCAGGTCAGAAGAGGGCAGGACTGCCCTGTGGGGAGTAGGTTCTCCTCTCTGGGCTAAGAGGTTGGATTTCCCACCTCTCATCTGTGGTGGGGCTTTGTTGTGTAACTGCAGTTTTTTTCTTTGGAGGATTATCACTGCAAAGCTTTGCAGAAGGAAGGGTTTGAATGAAGGGAGGATGATTGACTGAACCTGGCAGTCCCAATGGAAGATCTGTCTGTTACGTCCATCATCATGATACCCAGGCACCAGGCAAAAAAAGGGCATTTTGCCAGTTGGCCACTCCAGGGAAGAAACAGAGTTAAAAGGGTGAGCATGCAGTAAGAGGAGAGGAGAGAGTCACACTCAGTTTTGCTTCCAGGCTGGCTGCATCCTGAGTCACTGTTATGCAAGGTGTGATCTCTCAGCTTGTAGGCATTCAGCTGGAACATTAGCAATCCATGGGATGTCGGTCCATTAGAGATGTCAGTATGTGCACTGAAAAATAATTGTGGCCCCTCATCCCTGCATACGTCTCGATCCAGAAAGGTTTCTCTGCTTCCTTTTGGCTGGAGATCTTGTACTGCAGACATGGATGCACGCATCTGCCCTGGGAGCCCCCTCATCATGCCCTCACCTGCCATGGAGTCACGCCTCCCATCAAGGGCATTTCAGACAGCGTGGTCCAGGCAAACTCAGCCCTACAGCATGCCCTGGAGGATCTTGGTGTGATTTCAGTGGCCTTTAATTTAGAAGATGGCTGGAAATTGTGAGCCCCAAGGCTTGGTCTTTCTGCCTTCCTAGTCCTGAAGTGGATGGAAGGTGTTTTCTATCCTGTAAGGAAAAATCTGAGAGGAAACGGATGAGAAACCACGTCTGATGCTCTCAGCTGCACAGTGGATCCCTTGGTGCCTGCTGTAGTTGGCAATTCTCTGCTCAAACCTTTGTTCTCCACTGCTCCTTAGAGGGTGAAGAGTCAGACTCTCCAGCTCTATTGGAATCTGTGGAGTCTCCATCCTCCCCGTTCCAAGTACAGCTGGAACCCCTGCTGGGCCCTGCCCTGCGTAAGCATCTTAACCTGCGCTCTTGGCTGCTCTCAGTACCAAAGGATAGAGTGGGGCTCATGTTCATCTCCTGAAGGTGCTACGCTGCCATCTGCTCCCACCCAAATGCTTGACCCAGCATTGTTCCACCTCAGTGAGATTGGATTCAGCTAATGATGATGATGCTAATAATCACAGTGCCGGAATGTTGACTGTGAATTGCATTGGCGTTTCATTTCCCTGGGGTTATGAGAGATAAAGCAAGGTGGTTTGAGCATTGGCCTACTAAACCCAGGGTTGTGAGTTCAATCCTTGAGGGAGGGATCTAGGGCAAAAATCTGTCTGGGGATTGGTCCTGCTTTGAGCAGGGGGTTGGACTAGATGACCTCCTGAGGTCCCTTCCCACTCTGATAGTCTATGATCTATGTTTGGGTGGGGTTTGCACTCAGTATTTACAGGTATTTGGAGTGGCAAGGCCTGATTGTCGAGGACAGCGCTGTTTTGCAGGAGAAGCCTGTGAAGGTATAAGAACCTGATTGCTGAATGGACCTCAATCGGCCCTCAGAGTTTGCAACTTTACTTTCTGCCCACACAAAAATGGAGACCGTACATTTGATCATTTTGCCCTAAATTTTTTTCAAAATATCTTTAGGGAAACAAATATTGGCATGTTCCTGTGGGAAATGTTTAAAGGCAGCCATTCTGAGCACAGTGCCTGGTAGGTTTCTGTTCTGGGAATGGCTGAGCTCCTCCCCAGGAAAGCTCACCTCAGTCCGGCCAGGCCTTGCTTTTACCTCAGGAAGAGATATACGTGGGTGTCCCATGCATGCACTGGGAGCCCCTGCCATTGAGGGCAGCACAGAATATACTTGTATGGTTTGTGCAAGAACATCCTGCCCCTGTGGATGACATGTGAATGCAGGAGACTGCTAAGCACATCAGATGATGCTAGGATAATGCACCTGCTGTTAGTCTGGGTGCCGTGGCTTTGAATCCCCTTGAGTCCAATTTATACAGTTGCCTGAATTTGCTGAGCATACCAATGAGCCATCTAGTCCCTTATGCCTCCCTTTTGCCCTACCCAATCAGATCAGTGGGCCATGTAGGAGTGGGTGAGACCATTGGTCCATAACCCAAGTATTCCATCTCCTATCATACCTTATTGGTCCACTGGTTCATTTAGGCCAGTATCCTTCCTACAGCAATGGTCAAAACACTTCAGTGGAATGCTTGATTACCTGCCCTGTTTCTGGCTAACGCTGAGTGCTGTCTGGGTACAGGTGACGTGATGCCATGAAACGTTAGTCAAGGTGAAGTCACATTTTCTGTTGTTGATTCTGGTAAAGCAGGGTTCTCAGCCTCAGGGTCATGACCCCATGGTGGCTCATTGAGCTGTTTTCTGACATTTTTCACATTTTCTGCAGAATCTGTTTTCACTAAAAACCGAAACGGTTTCTGACCTTTCTGTTGAGCAGTAGCCTTTCCAAGCACAACTAGCCACAGTAATAAGGGCTACTGAATATACATCACCGAGGAAGGTGCAATTCATGAAATGTTCAGTACGGATGTGTACAGTATAGATGTGGATGTGAAATTATCACAAGTGTATGCACTGAATGTGAAATGCCATCTTTGGCTTTCTGTGACACAGTAAACTTCCAAGAGAATCACTGCAAACAAACAAATTGTTACATATGGCAGCACCTGGGGGGCAGGGTTTTTGACTGGAATAGCAGAAAGGATTTGGGGATATTGGGTCGTGAGGGCAAAAGTGGGTAGTTTGGAAGGTCATGGAAGGGAATAGTGGGTGGTTTGAGGATGGCAGGTGGAAAATCATTGAGAGCACCTGACTTTAACTATCCCATCTGCTTCAGTATAACAAGAAGTTAATTTAAGGGGGAGGTAGTGTGGCCTACTAGACAGAGCACTGGAATGGGCTCTAGGGGACCTGTGTTCAATTCCCTGCTCTGCCTCTTGATGGCTGGGTGACTTATCCCTTCCCCTTTCTGTGCCTCAGTTACCCCAGCTATAAAATGGGGATCCTGATACTGACCTCCTTTGTAAAGCACTTTGAGATCTATTGATGAAAAGCACCATATAGTACTATTACTGTGAAACAAAAGGCTCCTTGTATTCACCTTTCAGTCTGCCCACAGGGTGTTCTCAGGGGGAGTCCCAAGGAGGCCTGCCCCTCTCCCTGTTTCAGACACACTATTCTGTTTCTCCTACCCCCCTGTAGATATTATGCAGATATTGCTAAAATGCCAGCAATCAGTGACCAGGACATGAGTGCATACCTGGCGGAGCAGTCCCGGTTACACCTGAGCCAGTTCAACAGCATGAGTGCGCTGCACGAGATCTACTCATACATCACCAAGTACAAGGATGAGGTAAGTCAACAAGGGCTGGGGCATCTTGTTTTCAAGCAAGGGCACATCCCCCGCCCACTTTCTGCATTCCCCCTCTTGCTGCCCAGAAAAATTATCTCACAGGAAATACAGAGTGGGGAAAAATTGCTGTTGGTGGCTGGATTCAACTCACTTCTGGAAGCACATCTGGATCATAGCAGCCTGCACAATGAAAGTGTGTAGTGAAGTAGCCCCGTGTGTAGTAAAGTTACGTGTCCCATTACTGTGTGTGTGTGTGTGACTACCAGCCAATGATAGAAGTTACCAGGCACTAATACACTTCATGACCTCCACATACCTGGATTCACACTCACCCTGAGTGAATGTGATGATTGTACAAGTGACGGAAGGGGCTGAGAGCAGTGAGTAGAGCCAGGCACAGTGAAAGGAGGTGGTGTTCAAGCTTTTCCCGACTGCTCTCTTCACTCCTGACCTTGCTATTCCACTCTAGAGATGACCAGCAGCTCTTCATGCTGTTCTTACCATGGGCACTCGCCCATCTGCTCTTCTGATACCCCTCCATCCCAACCTGCAGCAGCTCCTCCAGTCCTGGGCCTTTCCTGAGCATACATTCTGATAAGGGTATTGTTTTGTACTCCTATTTCCTCTGGCAAGTAGCATGGGAAACTGCTAAACTCCTTTCCCATGTGAATGAAGTCAGGATTTGAACTCCAGTCTGCCTCGCCTCATCTCACCGCCTTCCCTCCCTCTTCCCCACCTGCTGTAAATGACCCCATAGCACAGCAGAACCCATGAAGGTACCCAAGTCACCTTGCTCGCAATCCCAGGGGTGCACTTGGAGGGATAAGGTGTCCATGCCAATAGGCCTCTTCGAATATTGACAAGAGTGGTTAAAAACCCATCTGTTGTAAATTGTACAAATTAACTTCATAAAGCACTATTCAAACACACTCTGCAATACTTTATTAAAGCAATAAAATATATAACTGTTGTATATCTATAAAAACATAACCTAGATTTTATTGTCCCAATAAAGCAGAGTGAAAACTTGTGTTTGAGTAGTGGTTTGTTTAGATAAAAAGCCTTTGCCCCAAGCTGCTGCATTGTCTCCTGAGAGAGACAGGGTGTCTCAGCCGTGAGAGAGCCAGGAAGAGGTGAGGGCCATCAGTAGACAGGTAGCCAAGAGTGCTGTGGGACAAGGTAGAGCAGAACAGATTACAAGGGGTGCTATAGGTTAAGTTTAGGAGCAATAGCAGAGCTGTGTGGGGAGAGCCCAGGTTTGGGGTGACAGGGTCTGCTGCAAGTGAGGGCTGTTACACATTGGCAGAGCTGGGAGCGGTCTGGGTTGAAATGCATTGGCAGAGGTGTGGGGAGAAGCATTTTGTAACAGCTGCCAGCCCTGTGCCTGGCTCCTCAGCCGTCAGGCTTTCATCAGCACCAAAAGTCACCTAAGCCTCAAAAATCAACCACAAGCCAGCCACTGTGTGAGAGTTGTCGGGGAGGTGCGGGCGGAGGTGTGATATTAACGAGCTGCTCTTTGAAGATGCAGGGTGAGTAGCCAACCTGTGTTCTTGCCAGTTCACTGCAGTCTGGCATCTGTTGAATGTTCCCCCATAGCCCACTCTGAAAGCACCACTAGTGTGTTCTCAGCTCTCAGGAACTTCTTTTATTATTCGTAATGGGATTAATAAATCGCAGCTGTTCCCTTTGTTTGTTTTCATTCATTAAGCACAATTACATGCAGCCCGATTGCACCCTCTTTGATGCGAAATGGGAGAGAATCATTTTTCCTGTTGTTCAGTGCAGTAATATGCTGTCATTGGCTGTGAATGAAAATCATAATTAATTTTCATTTGGGTACTTGCATCTTCATAATCACTGGTCCCGGCTCCTTACAGCAGGTGACAGGCATGTATCTCTCTTTATACTCTGCATGGATTTCTTTTTGCTGTGTTGTTTTCCATAAGGACAACAAGATAACAGATAATCAAATAAAGAGAAGGCAGGTTGTGAATCTTTCAGCACTCTCAGACTTCAATGATAAACTGTTCTCTTATCAGGAGAGGCAGCGGTGAGGTGGGTACAGGGGACTAGACTCAGATTCATATTCTCTGTCTGATCCTGTCCAATTCTGATTCAGATGCCTTTAAGAAATGTGTTTTTTGACTGCCAGATGAATATTTAGGGGTGGTTGGGTATAAGGTGCGTTGGTGCCATCTAGAGGCTGGTCTGGTTAACAGAAGGGACGTGTATATTGAGATTATAGAGTATGCAACTGGATATGACTATGAGCCCATCAAGGCTTCTATTCTGCCTCCAGGTTTGGCCTATAGCTGATGCTTCAAAGGAAAGCAAATAAAACCCTTGTAGTGTACCTGGCTAATTGTGACATGCACATAGGGGAGATTTCTTCCTGAGTGTCACAAGTGATCAGCTGGCACTCTTGTGGAGCAGAACTACAAATGTTGCTCTTGGTGGCCATGAAACTAAGCAGCCCTTTCTAAAGTCCAGCTTCAAGATTTGACTTGATGGGATGAACAATCCCAGAGTTTGAATCAGGATGGAAATAGTCAGAAAGTTACATCCCCTCCACAAATGCCCACTTTGTGCCGCATGCTTTCAGCTCTGGTTTTGGATGTTAGGTAGGTCGGATGTCCTCCGAAGGACAAAAATTCCAAAGAGTACAGTGAAAACCCAGGAGGCCCCGTCCCATAATCTGGGAACAAAAGGTCACTAAAGCAAATTAATGGGCAGCCAAGAACCATGGCAAGATTTGGAAGAGCGCTGGAGGAGCCTTTCATGACTCTCGGTATCTTGTGGCTGCATCCCCTCAGGACGTAAGTGAATCTCGGGGAGGAATTTTTCTCCTCATGCTATAGTATCTCAGCCAGGGTCTGATCCTGACAGGTACTGAAAACCCCCAATTCACACCGAAGTCGAGTATTCAGCATCTTGCTGGATTGAGCGCTTGGTTAGGTGCACTGCAGGAGGGGTAATTTCATCCTTATCTGAAGTCAGCTATAGGCCACTGCCCAGGGCTGGCTACTAGGCCAGACTGACTGGAATCACCTGCTCTGCACTGAGATGCACGCTGAGACCCTGAGTCTCCCAGCATCCAGCGCTGCATATTCCCCACAGCACGTCCTGTGTGCTCAGTGCTGGAAAGCTGCAGGGCGCTGCAGCGACTTTTAATCAAAAAGAGCTGATTTCCCTATTAAGGAGTTACCTGTAGGGTTTGTGATGGACTTTTGCCTGCCTCCTAGTAAGTCTGTTAATTATACAACAGTTTGTTTCCAATTATGCAGCCAATGAAATGGTTAATCAAATCCCCTTTGACGGATGCCTTGACATTTAATTGCAAAAAATTTGGTCTCCTGACAAACTTACCTGGGGAGACAGGATTTCTGTCAGGTTTGTTTTTAAATCCACTGTTCTGTGTCTGGTAGCACAATGTTAGCTAGCTGGACTCAGCACTTCAGACTCCTCGGTGATGGGTAGACGAGCAATTACCCCTCTTTTATGTGTCCATTACCCCTCCCTCGCCATGCTGACTCTTGCCTTCAGCCCCCCAGCCTCTCCCTGTGCCTTTAGTAATGTCCCAGTTCATGTAAATACCAGAGAAATGTGCCCCTCCCATCCTCTGATCTGTCACCAAAAGACGAGTTTGTTTAGAGAAATGAGATTCCAATGGAGAAATCCCGTTGTCTGATGTTTGCAATGTTGCGAGCACTTCTCCTGCATAGCAGTGTGGCTTCCCATTGACTGAGGCAGACGTTGCTGAGGCCGCATGCCTGAATGTCTGCCTGCGTCGCTCCCACAGTGCCAAGTGCCTCATCTCCACTCCTCAGCAGAGTTGTCATTGGCGGAAACGCAGTTAGACAGACTCTAGCCAGGGGGCTTGCAGCTGAGAAGCCATGAAAGTGAGTTTGGAGAAGCACCCAGCTGCGTGCCTGCTCCTTGCACCCTCAGAAGCTGCTGGGTCAGCATTTGGAGAGCAGGCTCTTTTGAAAGGTTTCCAGTGTTTCTTAGCTAATGGCAGCCTGGAAATACCAGCAGAACAATAGCCTTGTTAGGATAGTCCCGTCTCCTGTCCTGGCTGAGTCCCACACGTGCAGAGGCAGCTATGCCCTGAGAAATAAAGGCAGGTGAAATGTTACCTGAAGGTTATTGAAGCTGAAGGTGGTGGGGCAAACCCCACCCTGTGCTGCTGTTTCCTCGGGGCTGTTTCCTTGTCTCCTGTAACTTTTGTTTGCACCTTACCTGAGGCCTGTGCAGAACACTGGGGAGACAGATGAGGCATAGCCTATGCTGCCAGCTGTCACTTTTGCTCCCAGGTTAGACTGTAAGCTCTTCAGGGCCGGGCCCTGTGTCTTCCCACGTGTTTGTACTGTGCGCAGCACATCAGGTCCCTGATCCTGACTGTGGCATCCAGCAGTTACTGCAGCACAAATAATACCAATACAGGGCTTGGTACTGGTTCCCTTTGAGATTTGGGTGACTGTCTGAACCAGTTCTCAGTCAGACTGATTCAGCTGACCCACTGGCTGAGCCAGCCTGCGTCAATGCTGACCAGTCTCACACTAAGACGAGCACTCGATGGCTTGGTCTACACTGAAAAGTGACATTGGCATAAACCACACCCCTGACCAACACACCTATACCAGCAAAAACCGCAGAGTAGACACAGCCGTGTCAATGGAAGAGGGCTTCCATCAACATGGCTAACTTCATTGGGGAGGTGTTCCTATGGTGACAGCAAAACTCCTTCTGTCAGTACTGTGGAGCTATGCTGGCATTGCTAGGCCAGTATAGTGTCTGTGGTGTAGATGTACCCTAAGGCCAGATTCTGATCTTGGCTACACTGCTGAAAATCCAGAGCTACTCCATGTCTTCAGCTGAATTGCTCTGGGTTCACATGGCGTCATTGAAGCTGGCCCCAAGCCTTTTGGGGCCCCTCATTTCATAGCTGGGAATTCTGTTCTGTGGCAACTGCATACAGACAGACGCTCTATTCATTTGATCAAATTGGGAAGTTAAATAAAACAATCCCCTAGACAGACAGATCAGTGATGTCTGTGTTGGCTAGCATGTCTTCTAATCAACCACCAACTCAACAATGTTATCCCTAGCTCCTTATTAATAAAATCAAATACATCAGCCAAAATCCAGGGATTTAAATAGACACATGGAAAAGGCAAGATTTTCAGACATGACTAGAGATTGTAGATGTCTGATTGAGACACCTTAAAGGGACCTGATTTTCAAAATGCGCTGTGCATCTGCCCTCTGAAAATCGGGTCTTTCTAAGGTGCCCTAAACTGGGCATCCCCAAATTAAGGCACCCACAATAGCTAGTTACTTTTGAAAATCTTGGTCAGAGTTGTTACCACCTCATGGCCCTTGGTATGTGACGAAAGCTGGAATTGGTCCCTACTGACATTTTTTAGTGCTTTGTGAAGTCTAGTCTGACACATCCCCTTGGACTGGGCTTCCAGCACATCCCTTAGAAGGCTATTTCACAGGAGGATGGATCTTACTGTCCGGAAGTTCTTCCTGATGTTGAAAAAAAGGAAAATTCAGTCTTGATTTTCTCCTAGTCATAAGCTCATGCTAAATCATTTCTCTCCATCCTCGGGCTTTAGACCCCCCTCCCTCCATGCTTTTTTCATATGCTTTTCCCCTTAGCGGTCGCTTAGCCCAGTGGTTCTTAATCTTTCCAGACTTCTGTACCCCTTTCAGGAGGCTGACTTGTCTTGTGTACCCCAAGTTTCACCTCGCTTAAAAACTACTTGCTTACAAAATTGGACATAAAATACAGAAGTGTCACAGCCACGCTATTACTGTCACATGGCTTACTTTCTCATTTTTACCATACAATTCTACAATAAATCGTGACCCCCCCCAGGTTGAGAACCCCTGATATAGTAGATAGAGCAGTATAAGCGAGTCATTGTCGGTATGAAATTTTAGTTTGCACTGACTTCACTAGTGCTTTTCATGTAGCCTGTTGTAAAACTAGGCAAATATCTAGATGAGTTGATGTACCATCTGGACGTACCCCTGCTGGAGAACCACTGGCTTAGCCCATATTTAGCTATTTTAATATCTCCCCCTAGATCAGTCTCTCCCACCTCTGATCAGATTTTGTTGCTTTTCTCTGAATTCCCATCCTTAGCCCTATCTTCCTAGTGAGGCAGTGCTCGCAATGAACGCAGCAGTGTGTTTTACCTTGCCTGTTAGTGAGGGCTGACAACTCCCTCCTGGAAGCCGTGGTGGCATTGGTGGACCTGCGTTCTTTTCCCATCTTCTCTTTCTAGGTTGCAGGTAACAGTACCACCTTTTCTCATCCTTTCCCCTCTTTTCTCCCCTGCCAGATTTTAGCTGCTTTAGAGAAGGATGAACAGGCCCGAAGGCAACGGCTGAGGAGTAAACTGGAGCAGGCAATTGACACAATGGCCCTAAGCAGCTGAAAAGGCCGAGGCAGCCCGGACAGCTTTCCAGCAGTGGATACCACAAGAGAGAGGCCAGCAAGCGGCAGCAGCAGAGTACTTTGGGTCCAGAGCCAAATGGACACGCGGAGCCCGCCGCGTCTCGAAACTCTTAACACAAACGAACCAGGAAACCTACCACCGTATCACACCCAATCCAATCAGACCTATCCAGAGACCTTGCAAAAGGGACGGTGTGGGCAGGAGTGCAAAGGAGCCGAGAAGAACTGCAGGGAGCTTGCAGCGCACCCAGCACAGCTGCTTCGCCTGGGGACATGTCCCCGATCTGGTGATGGAGGCTGGAGGGTCAGGACTGCACTAACTTCTAGGGCAACATGTCTGATGTTGTTATTTTTAGCGCAGGGAGGGTGGGCGGGGCTTTTCTTTTTTCTGTACTTGACTCGCTCCCCCTTCCTCCCCACCTGCCTCCCAGCTCTCCGCCCATATCCCTTCTCTCGCTCTCTCTCTCTCTCTCTCTCTCCCCTCCCCACCCCAGCTCTCTGGCCTTCTGCCATTAGTGTTAACTGCTATATTTGCACAATTTACAAGAGAGAAACAAAAAAATTTTTAATTAAAACAAAGTATAACACAAAGGGGGAGGGGAAGGGAGGTTCTAAATTTTGCAACAAACAAACAAAAAAAAGGGGGGGTTAAAAAAATCACTCAAAGGACCGATTCTGGAAGGAGAAGGGTGGGGGTGGGCGGGGAGTGGGAGACAAGTCCCATAACCTTGCGGTAGTTCAGAAAATTTGTCCTGTGCCATGTTTGATTTGAATGTTGTTTAGTGCAGAAAGCAAAACAGGATGTTTTGTTAGCTGAATCAGCTCTAATTTACATGCTGCTTAAGTGGTGTCCGAAGGTCACAATCCAAGAGGAGGAAGAACAGAGAGGGGAGACGATCTAAGGGGCCTTTTCCCAGGGATCGGCCGATGCTGTGAATCGTGGCGGGGGAGTGGCGTGGCGTGGTGTCGACTTCATCCTTGTTTTTATTTGCATGTTGCTATTTCTGCGTGGGGCAGGACAATGCAGATGAAGGAGGAGAATCGTTGAGCTCTTTATAGCCAGAGCTTGTGCTCCATCCTCTCTTGTGAAAGGGGAGTTTCCCGGCAGCATTCCCTGGTGGCGGTCGGTGCTATGAGGGGTGTCTGGGCCATGGAGAAGCCCTCAGGGACCTTTCAGGCTGGGAAGCCGTTGAAAACAGACCTTTCAAATGGGCATCTCCATGACTCCAAGTGCAGGTAGATGACTGTAGTTGGGAGGTTGATGTTCTGGAAGCTTGAGAGCTTGCGCTACGTCCAAGTGTATTAGGAGCAAAGGGCTTTCAGAACCACACAGGGATAGCAGGAAGGGAGTGTCAGCATGGGGCTTTGGCATCCTGCCCGGCTTTGCCTCCCTTCCTTCTGACGCCCCCCAACGGCCTGAGGTGCTGAGCATCTCAGCACATTTGCAGCTCTTGGTGTCCTTTAAAGCAGCCTTAATGAAGTCACTGATGGCAGCTGGCTCACAGTCCAGCCGGGCTCCGAAACCTCTACAATCCCAGGGTTCTCCCAGCACTACCAAGCAGGCTCCCACATTTAAAGCAGTTGGAGACAGTAGCTCAACATACCCTATTTTTTTAGCAAGGAGCTAGGTGTGAGGTGCGGGGAGCTGTCTGCCTGCCACTCTGCTGTAACTAAGCCGTAACCCACTGCCGCCTAGCAGTCCCATTACAAGCTTTTTTGTCTGGAGCTACATCAGTGGATTTGTTTCAGGTTAGGCCTAACCAATCCCAGGAAAGAGGATTTGGGGAATGGGGGCGGCCCTGGAATTTTGACCGTTTTTCTCGGTCCTCTTTTTGTGCTGAGGTAAGGGAAGGGCCCGGGTCACCCGGGGAAATGGTTTAGATCCTTATTTCTCTGCAGAAATCTTTCAGAGACCAGTGATGCCATATAAGGCTTTTCTCGGTAGCTGCACTGGTTCTGGAGCAGCCACCTGGGGCAGAGGGATGTACGGGCCGTAACCTCGGATGGAAGGAAAGCAGAAAAAGAAAACGTCCAGCCTTGTGTGTGGTTGGTTACAGGCTAAGAGGGCAAACCCTGAGTGGTGATTGCCGTAGCTCTCCAGATCTGAATTCCCCGCGTACTAGGCTGTCTCAGATTCCTGCTGCTACCGTGTTCGCTGTCAGGAGCTGTTGGCACAAAAGGTTGGAGAGGGTTCTGTAAACTAAGCCGTTCGATGAGCTTGCCATGCGCTGATTTAACAAAACAGGGGGCAGGCACCACTCACCCTGCCGTCCCCAAGCCCCAGGAGCAAGAGTGTGTGCGTGGCGTGTCTGTGCACAGCTCACACAGTGGTGATGCTAGTTATCCAGATAGTTATATGCTCAGATACTAGGGTGAAGGACGCAATAGAAAACCCTCTGATAGATCATCAGGAGACAGCGCGAAAGGGAGGGTAGGAGGGATTGGGGGGTTTCTGCTGTGGCTGCCACGTTGCGCTGTATTTTGGTGGTGCTACACGTAGCTCATACCTCCGCTGTGTGTGTACACATACAACCACCCAGTGCCTGTATGTCCTACCAGAGCCCTCGCGTGGCATCACTCAGCCATGGTTGGAAAGGGCCCTGGAATTCCACAGGGCTGATTTCCAGCCCCCTCCCTGTGGAACGAGTGTTTTACAAAGCACCTGAGAATTCTCCTTTTAGCCTTCATTAGCCCACTGAGAGCTAGGTGAGGAGACAAAGCATTCTGACTTGGCCTGCTCCCTAGACCCCAGGAAACCAAACCCAGGCTGGGATCTCACCGGGTTTCTGCCCAGAATGTACCTCTCTTTCCCCTCTCCTTACTCTTTCTTCCCCTCTTGCTCTCCCCCGCCCCCTGCTCTGTCTTTTGGGGTGATTGTTGCATTCTCTCATTTCACTGGAAACCCAGGGATCCATCTCCTTTGGAAGCCTCTGCTTGGCATGTTAGATCCTCATGGCTTTATTATTTAAAGAAACAAAGGTGCCGAGCCGCTGCCCAGACTCAGAGCAGGTGACCAAAACCTTCTATAAACTTACAGTTTTCTTTTGCATACAGTACTGCGAATCTACATTGCTGCCTGGGCCAAGGAGGGGCCCACACCATGCCAGAGGTGGGCTACTGAAAATTTAAAAAACACCGGCTCGGTTTCTGTCCATTCCCTTAGATTGCAAATAAGGGGCGGAGGGGGGAAAATAATGAAGTTTTTAATTAAAAAAATAGTGTGTGTATATATATATATATATATATGTGGTTACAATCTAATTCTTGTGCCCCAGTGGGGTGCTGTATAGTTAACTGAAGGAGAAACAAACCAATATTAAATATTAAATGGATTTACACAGCCAGTGGAAAATACCAAATGATCTGGAAGAAATTTCCAAGCATTTCTCACCAAGCAGAACAATCTTTTGAAGCCTGCACATCTCTAATTACGTTGTAATTTTGTTTTTTGAATTAAAGAAGAAGAGAAGGAGAAGATGATTTAAAAAAATAAAACAACAAAAAACAAAAACAAAAAAAATAATAAAAAAAAGATAAAATAAATACCCAACCCAACCTGAGCCATCTCCGGAGTTGTGGGACCTGTGGGCTGTTGCATGACTGTGCTAGATTTTAGTCTGAGTTGAACTTTTTAAGGAACAAAAACAAAAAACTGCAAGTGTTGAATACTAGAGGTTCGTTTAGACCTTTTCTTTTACATTTTGGAATTAATTTGTCACTTTCTCATCAAAGACAAAAATTAATTTGACTTCAACGGTTTACTTCTCAAAATGGTACTCAAAGACCCTTAAAGGACAGCTGTGTGCCAGCGGGCCCCCGAAAGAGACAACATCTGTTTCGCTTGCTCTCTTGGGATCTCCTTCAGCAGTTGCGAGAGGGAAGGAATCCTCAAGTGAAACTGGGCTGTGGGCCATGAAAAATTGCTTTGTGGAAACTTTAGAAAATGAAAGCCAGATCCTCAGCTGATGTAAATGGGCAGAGCTTCATTGAAATCAGTGTTTTTTAAGAGAGACGAGGGCACGTTGATCTAAAGTTTTTCCCGTTCCTCCTCTTTGCTGTGTAGCACTGGTTGAAACATGTTCAAGGCCAGTGCCACCAACCTGGCTAGGAATTTACACACATCACCGTGGTACCCTGGCCGTAATAATCCACATTAGTGGGAAGGGCATTTCTGTGGTGAGGCTGCTTTATTATCTTTAGCCCAAGAATGACTTGAATCAGTAACCAGTTGTTTTTAGATCCTCAAGACGATTTTAATGTAGACAATTTCTAGGCTGTAATTACACTGCACATGGTTTTTAATGAGGTAGAAGGTATATATGGGTATGAGCCCAAAGGCATTCTGGACATGGGTTTTGGTTTAGCTACGCTAGAGACGGGGATGAGGGGAACAGTGAAATCTCGATTCAGATCTGCATCCAAAGTTGAGATGCAGGCCTATCTCAGCTAGAGAGGGACTCAGTTCAGATCAGGAGAGTGCAGTTCAGCCTGCCTGCACGTCTACCTGACCTTCCAGCCATTGGGAGCGAGCTCCTGTGTGACCTCCTCCCTTCATTGCTGTAGGGACCCAGCTCCTACCTGCATTTCTCCTTTCCAGTCAGTCTGCCTGAGTCATTCATCACCCCGCCCCGCCCCCCACCCTTGTGCTGACAAATTGTGAGGTCACCAGCCCTAATCATTGGCCTCAATGAATCAGGCAGGAGGAGCCAGTTGAGAAGGAAGGGAGACCCGGGCCGCTGTTTTAAATAGCAGGAAAGAAGTGAGCGCAGGTCCACGCTGGTGTGTAACAGGATATTGGTATTTTTATAGCTTGACTGACACAAGCACCACATCTGCCTGAGCTGGCATGAGCCCCTCTGATGGTGATAATGGAGTCCAGGATTCCCTGTAAGGGCATTAACTCTGGTCCCGGGAATAGACACAGCTCCCAGGGCAGGGCAGCCGCCTTCTCTTCCCCTTTCCCCCCACTCATCTTGGCGTGGCATTTCTGGCAGGTGCTTTGGAAGTTTATCAGTTTCTTCCACCAAAGACCCATCCCAGCCCATTCCCACCTTGGAGACAGTGGTCCCATCGCTGCCAGGCCCAGCTGTCGGTGAGGTCAGACAGCGTCTCCATGACTTGAGAGATTCTTAAGAAAGGGACCTTTTTTTTTAATACTCTCCACGTTTGCTAAGTTGTCAGGTGCTACTTTTAGCCTTTCACATCTAACGCCCAGGGTGCTTGATCACGCTCAGACTTCTGCCTGGTGCCTCAGAGCCCCCCTCTTGCCCCCAGAACTGGGATCTTCACCGTGCTCTTCAAACAGGAACCATGGGAATGGGACGGGGGCAGCAAAGTGGAGACCTCTGCAGGCTTTGACTCTGTAGGTTCTTCCAAAACATCCTGCTGGGAATGAAAACAGGGAGGGAAATGCTTGCCAGAGCCCACGCCTCCTCATCTTCTCTCAGCCCGGAAGCCTGAGCCCTTGGACTTTGGGTGGCTCCTGCTTTGCCCGATGCTGGTGTCGGAAAATAGACCATAGGGATCAATGCTGCATTGGCCAAGGGTGGAAATGACCATGTGGCTGTTGCCATCTCGGTTATCTTCTGATTTGGGACACTATTCACACACTTCCGTTCGGTTCAGTTTTAGATTTAAAATGCAGCCAAGCCATGGAAGTGCCCCTCTCTACCCTTCTGTCGAGAATGAGCCCACTGCCTGCTCTGCAGCTGGCCAGCTCACGGGAGCGGAGTGGCCTTGCTCTGGGGGATATAAGCAGAGCTGTGTTCTCTTTGAAGGAACCACAGTGCACAGTTAGCTGTCCTTTAAGAAAGTGGGGGGGGAAACCAACAACAAAAGGCCGAGAACTTTAATAGTAACATACAGAGTCCTGAAAACGTTGTGATTGTTTCAGACTTGAAGCAACTGTGCCAGTGTGGCTGGTCGACACCCTTCGACCGTGTAAATATCCTGCTATTTCCTATTTTAATGTTCTTCAGATTTAGTACTTGTAAATAAACACGCGCATCAAGGAGAGATTAAACATTTTTGCTAAATAACGTGACTTGCCTGGGTTTTTACATGGCTGGGGGAGGGGAGGGATCCAGGACTGGCAATACCTTGTGTTCCTTAGCACGTCTTCTGACTCACGACAGTGATGAGCTGAGCATGGAAGCCAGGAAATCTGGCTCCTAGTCGTCTGCTCTAACAATGACACGTCCTTCCTCCCCCACTAACCACCATACCCCATTGCCTTCCCCACCCACTGATTGCCTGGGGCACATGTGAGGATCTGTATCGGGGCCAGGAGGGAGAGAAGTGGGCCCCATCCATGGGGCTCTTGCAGGAAAGTGATTAAATGGATGGGGGAATTGCCTCTGTCTCTTGTCTCTAGACATTTATAACACACCTATTACTTTGGTGTCTTAAGTCAGTGCCAAGAAAGGGTTATTCTGCACCCACCCCTGCCCTGAAGCCCTGATCTTCAGTAATGCAAGTTCCTGAAGAAAAGAGGGTCTCCCTGAATCCCAAAGCTAAGAGCCATGGAGCTGGAGGGAATAGGCTCTTGAAGGTCCTGGGACCAACCCAAGGTTAATAATCCCTTAAAAAAATGAACATGGGTCCTGGCAGAGATAAAGGCTCCTGCTGTCTGCTCCTCTTTACCCGGGGAATGGCTCTGATTCGAGGATGAATGGCAGAGCAGGGCTGTCCCTCCTTCACAGCCCGCCACGCTGCAGCAGGGGGAGTCCAAAGGAAATAGGGGTTGAGACAAGGGGGGGACTGGTGGTTGTTGCACTGATTGGGGTGAATTTCTGTGTCGGAGAAGTGAGGGGCTGACAGCAGTGACTTATACAGGGCATTGTGCAGACAAGGGGCTGGGCCGTGCCCCTCACTCCAGACTTGCAGCACTCCCAGCTATTCCAGTCCTGGAGGTACCCACCCAGCTGTGCCGCTGCACTGCAAAGTACTCAGTTATTCCAGTCCTGGGCCCCCGTCCACACCCTCCAGGCCACGCTTATCCTTGCTGTACGTCTCACTACTCCGTCTGTTCAGGCAACACAAGTGGAGATGCCTTCCCTCACTTTCCTGAAGAGCACAGCCTCCTAGAAGTACTGGAAGCTGCTCACTGGCTCCCTCCATTGGCAGGTATCTGTGCTCTCTGTGGGCTGTCTGATTCCCGTGTGTACCTCTCAGAGGGCTTCCACCCTGCTCACTAGTCACCTCGTCCAAGACAGCACATCCACTTTGGAGGTGCTCCAGGGAAGTGAGGGGCCTGGAGACAGCCGGTGCTGCATCTTCCTGGGAACATCTGAGGCACTGAACTGCTGTGCTGAGTGTGCGGTACCTGAGAACCTGGCAGAGGTCAGGAGGCATCTGAAGCCAGTGTGGTGCCCGCAGAGGGGGGGTGCTTTTCTAATGCTAACCTGGAAGTGACACAGAGTCAGCACCGCTTCTAGGGACTGAGGAGACCCTCTGTGAACTCTTTCACTGCCTTGCAGCTCATTGTCCCTCTCATCTTCACCAGACAGCCTACCCGCAGCTTTCACAAATCATGGCTCAGGCCCCCTGAAATCCTAAAACCGGCTTTAAAATCATAGGATTGTTTTATAAATACTTCTTTGTACCTGCTTTCTGCCCCTTGGGTCACCTGCTCAAGCTTTTCTCTGCAGCCATCAGGGCTAGAAACGTCCTTAAAAAGCTCAGCATCTCCCCTAATCACAGGATTCCTGGAGCATGCCATGCTGTGAGACTGGGGATAAGGTGGTGAGCATTGACAACGGTGCTTCAGGCCCCCTTGGGAGCTGTGACAGCCCAACAAGAGCTAACTGCACCTTTTAACGGTGGGGTGGGGCAGAGGAGCTACCATTCTGAGCCTGCTGAGTGATCAGCAGTGTCGAAGCTCCCTGAGAGGGCTACAGGAAATGGTGGCTCCTTGTCCCTTCAGCAATCACTCCTCCTCCATTAGCAACACTTTCATTGCTGTTACTTTCTGTAGCGGGCCCTTTGCTCCTCCGGCTCCTGTGAGGATTGCCCTTTTCCTTTTGGTTTCTACCAGCTCTGCCCCTCCCTGGTGCAACTCACTGATAAAACCGAGCTCTCATCTGGTGCTTTTCACCCAGCGATCTCAAAAGCGCTTTACATAGGAGGTCAGTAGCATAAGCCCCCTTTTACAGATGGGGAAACTGAGGTGCAGTTCCGCTGCTCTCTCCTCAGGGGAGTATAGAGCTCAGCTCCAGCCCACTATTACCCAGGAGTCCATCTTCCTTTCTCTTCCTTTCACCTTCTTGCAGGCGGTGGGGTTCAGCAGTGTTGGGGGCAGGCAGGAACAGAGAGCAGAGAGGCCTGCGTGTGCCTGCCCCACCGCGTGATAGTTCCAAGTCCCAGCACACTGCGCCGACCCGAGGCGCCTCTCTGTCCATTCTGCAGTGGCCTGGCCATGTGTGGCACCTCAGACAAGGCCCTGGGACTGAGGAGATGACAAGCTGAGTGGCTAACCTGGGCAAGGCATTGATTCCCCTCCCCCCGACTGCCATCTCCAGGGTGGAATGCAGGCGAGATGGGTCCTGGGAGAAGAAGACAGCTGGGGAGATGGCCCCTGAGCTAACCCCAGCTCTGTGCAATCACCCGGAGCTCTGAAACACAGCCCTGCTCTGGCCATGGAGGTGGCAGGTTACTAGGTGTGATGGGCATCCAGCCATGTGCTGTGCAGATGGGATGAGGCAACATTTCCCTATTGCAGCTGGGGCTCAAACAGTGCGTGTGGATCCCCTGTGGTCTGGAGCCCTTCCTGAGGGGCCATGAGCCAGTTCGATGTGCAAGCAGTGGAAGGGGCGGGAACGGCCGTACTGGGTAGAGTCCAGCTGAGGGTCTCTCTCCCCACCACAGATTGAGAGAGAATCCATTTCCCTACAGCCATCCCAAAGAAAACCTAGATGGTCACTAGCCCACCCCACCATTTAAAAGTGGCCGGTCTAAACGAACCCCAGCAGCTGGGCCCAGCTCCGCCCAGCACGGTTAATTCCAAACGGCACCTCTGGATCCAGCTCACAAACCGAACTGCTCCTGTTCGATCCCCTGGAGAACCTAAGGTAAGGCACTGGCTGGGGGAAGGAGGAGGGGCCTAGATGAGTCTTTTCCATCTCTTACATGGCTGATTTTCCAAGGGTGGTTTATTTAAACTGTTTGGTTTCACTCCCCAGCTTTCAAAGCTCCCAGATGCAAAGGAAACAAATCAATTCCATCGAGACAGCAAAAAAGGAGGTAAATCACTGGCAAAGTTCAGCATCTAGTTATCACCAGCTGGGCTCAAAAGAAGCCAGTCAAGGCCCTTTGAAGTGTGTGTGGGGGGTGGGCACACCAAGGTATTTTAATGCTTCTCTCTCTCCTGCCAGCTTCTTTTTTCAGCTGTTGACTTTTGGTGTGTGTTATTTTAGTCTATGTGTACACTGTGTAGCCGCTCTATGCCAGCGGGGGAGACCCTTCCTGATGGCATAATTAAACCATCCCCAACGAGCAGCGGTAGCTATGTTGGCAGGAGACGCTCTCCCCCCGACGTAGTGCTGTCCACACTGGAGTTTTTGTCGGTAACACGTATGTCGGTCAAGGGTGTATTTTTTCACACCCACGACTGACAAAAGTGCTAGTGTAGACGTAGCCTTAGTCTCTGATCTGAGCCACCAAGGCAGTTCCTTCTTTCTCCTTTGCTTTGCCAGCCTCAAACAAAACTAGTGCTAACCTCTGTGCATCCTGCCCAGGACTGACCTAGTCCACCTTCCCTTCCCCTGCTCTACCTGCCTTTGACCAAGGGTCCAACCCCTCCTTTGGACTGCTACTGTGGGTCTCGGCCAAGGTTGTTCCCTCTTCCCTCTGACTGCTGCTCTGGCTTTCACCAAGGCTGATCCATCTCCCTTCCAACTCTACCAGGTGTTGGCCAAAGGCTTAGGCTGTTCCCTCTCCCCTCCCTCTGCGCCACAGTGTTGGCTAACTGCTGCCTATTTCATTTTCTTGTTCAGTTATCTGCTCGCCTGGCTCGCATCACAAGGGCAGTTTCCTTGCACCTGCTTTCAATTCCTAAGAACATAATGAGGGGTTTAAACTGCTTTCCTTGGTATTGTCCTCCGCCACTAGTAACAGACATTGATTACATTTCAAATGCATTGTTTTCAAGGAGTCATTTTAAAAAGAAAAAATCCCACAGCCACCAGAAGGGGATCTAGATCAATGTGACAAACTCGTCAAAATCTATCATCTCTGGCAGGCCGGATACACTACAAAAAGGCATTTAAGGATGGCTACGTGGAGCAGAAATGTGCTCCATGGCACGCTTGCTCCCTGAAAGAGGCTAAAGGAGAAGAGAAACCTGACTGAACAATAAGCAGGAAACTTAGAGGCCACCTATACATAGACACCATGGTCTCAGGTCTTTAGTGTTAAAGGCACAGGTCTCTGCCACATGAGTAAAGGAGTAACTCCATCAGCTAGCTATACATACTAGGCGCTTATCCTTGCTAGGGCTAGCTGCTAGCGGAGACATACATGATCGCACACACTAAGCCAGTGTGTCACACAAGTATCTGGTATAACTGCACAGTTAAACTCCATCTAGTTCAACACTCGGCACCCCACCTTCTGAGCAAGGGCGACCAACGCATTCCGTTGGCTCCCTTCAGTTCCTGAACTGCTTCGAGGGCCCGGTCCTGATATTTAAGCCCTCCGACAGCTTTAAATCCTCTTTCAGCACGGCCCTCCTCTCTATCCACAATGTACCAAGCCAGCTGGCTGATGAAGACCGGGTTGGGGCCTCTTGGGAACTGACTCGGGACTCCGTCTTTCCTCATTGAATCAATGCGCGCATTGCCACTACGTTTGATAGGAGCTGGATCAGACCTTTGGTGCAGGGCCCTTGATGGTGGAACCCTTTCCAGACAGCGATCAACCTGAGCACCGCTTCTCCACACAAGCTTTCCCTCAATGATGGCTGAAGAACGGCCTGGTGCAGTGTGTGGTAGATGGGTGATGAGGAGAGGGAGCAGGGGAGGAAAAACAAATCCCTGGAGAA